CAGACAATAAAATAGTGATTTAATAGACTTTAAGTCAATCAAGATGATACAATAGTGTTAATTAGCCTTTTGTGCCTAATTCACAACTAATTCTGTTGTCTACTTATTTATGTTCTAAAGTGGCCCTGATGAAATTTTTAATATTTCACCTTAGCTGAAGATTCATTTTTATGCTGGCTGGTAATTTTCTCATATATAGCTTGAAATTGTACTCTAGATAATTTTGCACAGTAGTATATCTACATGTCAGGRCCATTGGCTGCTGTGTTGAATGGCTCTTCAGAGCTGACAACTGGATAATAGCTTTACTTTCAGCCAGCAGAGGAAGTCAAGAGCAAAAGTGTAGAGATAATGTGAATATAATTCATTATTCAAATATGCAAGTGATGAACTGAAAACAAAGAGGGAAGAGTAATAATGGTGTCATTATTTTTATTACTCTTGTTTTGCAAACGTAGCGTGAAACATTAAAGTAGATCTTTGAGAGATTCTCAACTGTGTAGTGACAAATTTACTTTCTTGGCAATATTGATAAAAGGAAAGTAAAGCAGACAGGTTTCTGCAGAAGGTATGCTGTGCTGTTAGCTCTAGTATTAAATATTTTGATGTTGCCTTTTGCACTTTAAAACTCACATTATTAGTTACTCTTTAGAAGCCTGATCAGTGACTGGAAGAAAGTGCATTGTTGTTCTTGTGGSTCTATTTAGTTAAGACAATCTTCAAAGTTCTAAGTCTTTGTAGCATGACTAACAAAGGCCARATAGGCAGGTTATATAAAGCTTTCCTTGAAAAATGAGGAATTTGCATGTGATAGCAAAACATCCTTTATGAAAGCAGATAGAGGTTTTAATGGAATAAGGACCTAAAGAGCATTTGTTTGGTAACTGCAGTGTTTTCCCCTTATCACACTTTTTGACACTTTACCTTTCACATCATCTGTTTTATTTTCTAGCGCTTAGGTGAAGGTTCATTAAAAAAATTCTTTAGTGATTTTAATTTTTGAAGTGTACATACCATGATATACAGAGACTCACAGAAATGAATGTGAAAGCCATCTTCTGCTAAACTTACAGCAGTGGTAAATGAAAGTCCCCTGCAATGGAGGCATCGATTTTTTTTTTTTTTTTTTTTGTGGGGCACAATGGCAAACACCCTTTTCTCCAGGCACCTTATTCACCAGAGAAAGAAATAAACCACGAAGGAGGTGTGGAGGTGTCACCTGTGCATGCTTGATTGACAGAGAACAAGGCAGCACATCTGGAAGGGCCCAGGTAAAATCTCAGTTTAAAATCTCTTTGTAGCTGCACTGGATTTGTGGATTGTTTTTATAGTACCTGAAATGTGTTCAGTAGTTGTTTATCATATGACAAGAGCCTGTGGGACACGCTTTTATGGGAACTGTCCAGAATTTACTGGTTGGTYTGACATGCAGCTGTTGTGAGCTTCCAGATCTCTGGGAAACCTGGAGTAGGGTCTGTTCTGCAAGGGGTTAATTCGAGGTAGGGTAGAGGATTGTGGTAGTTATGGAATTATCTTTGTGTTTCTGAAAGTGGGTTGAAGTAGGCAAGGTAGGCAAAGTCTGGGAAGAAAATAGTTTTCCTGAATACATGAATGGGACAGGGAATACTCAGGAACACTGAGGCACATGGCAATTAAGGGTGTTGGCCAAGWTTAAAGAAGTTTTTGGGGAACCTCTCCCTACTTTCAGTTTATTTCAAGTTTGCCTTTCTCAGCTTCACAAGCAATATTTTGCTYCCTAAACCAATGACACATTGAGAARTCACAGAGATTTAGTATTCARTCCTGAAAATTTTATCRTTTTCACTGTAAATTACTAAAGGGATGAAATTCTTAAGTGAGTAGAATTACCACAAAAGTTTGTACTGTTGTAGCTGTTGATGGATCTGATTCTTTTCTGACTTAGATTATAAACACAAGTAAAAGCCACTGTTTCACTGTTTTCTTATTTAAAGCAGGTTGAACTGTGGGACACTTGAAGTTTAAAGCCTTTAGTTGCTCTTCCTAATTTTTTTACCTTTACCTGATTTTGCATCTGCAACTTGCATCCAAACCTGAAGCAACCTTTCTGTCTGAAAAACTGACAGAGAGATTTGGCTGCAGCCTCCAGCTGGAGAGCCTGAGGGGTTATCAGAGCTCTCCAAAGCTAACATTTTGGAAACAGACTCTGTGAAGATATTATCAGTGTTACAGTGTGAATTGGGGGTTTTGGGGCCAGCTTGTTCCACTGCTTTTATGGCTCTGAAAGAGTAACTCAGATCCTGAGTCAGAAAACTGTAAGYGCGTGCTCAACTTCACTGGGACAGAAGCCTGTGCTTGCAGGAGCATGTGCTTGAGCACTGTCTTCAAAAAATATGGTTTCCTGTATCAGGGCTTTTAATCTCTCCATTCTCCAGTTCTCCATCTGTTAAAAAGAATTAACAGGTGGCAGAGAGGAAATGTTGTTGTCTGTCTTCTGTTAGCTCTTGGGAGCTGCTGAGTGTGTGGAGCCACAATCTCAGCGAGCCCTCAGCCTCTCCGCAAGCATCCCTGTCATGCTACAAGGAAAAAGAATAATTTATGCAGGATAAAAGGATATTATGCAACACTGAGAAGTCCAGAGGAAGGATTCTGAGGACAGGAGAGGAACAGTTGACTTTCCTGGAAGAAGCTGCAACAGTGCAGAGAACCCCATGTGCTGCACTTCAACACCTCAAATGCAGTGGCTTTGCTGTTCTCTTGGACCCTGAGCAGGTGTTGGTGATGTCAAGACCAGACAGACCAAAGTTTTCTTGGACAGCCTCAGAAAGGAGAGGAAAGGTCCTCCAACAGGGTACAGCTATTACCTATTGCAACATGCTCCCTTCAGCAAATACCACAGACCATCAACCTTCAGAGAATAATTGCATTCAGGGGATGATCTTAGGTCTGAGAACAGTGACCAAGAGCATTGGGAAGCTAGCCAGGTGCAGGATGAGTAGAAATAACCAAGTCTACAAGCTCTCTTTTTGTTTATCATTGATAAAGCCAAGCCCAGAAAACAATTACACTTGGATGCTCCACCCATGCTGGGCTGCCTGCGTTTAAAAGACTCACACTGCAAAAGAAAGTTATTCATTAATTATTATTAGTAGATTTTGTTTGCATTGTGTTATGAAGACCCCATATGAAATACAGAGTAGAATATAATTCCWGTTGTAAATAGTTATAATCTAATTAGATGAGACAATTAAGAAGGGGGAAAGATATAAAAGGCTGAACAAAAGGATAATTAACCAACATTTCATTAGCGCCAATATTTTTCCTTTTGTTTGGCTCTTTGAAGTCTCTTCCTTGCTGATTTTTTAAAATAATTTCTTTTCAAATTAGCAAAATCATTTCAATTTTCACTTTGGCTCTGTATAAACTGGAGAAACGGCTTCTCATTAGAAATGTATTAATTAACATGATAATAAGCATGATTCTGCCTCACGGATAAAGGCAGCCCTTTCCTATTAAAGGAGTGAGAAGGACATTATACAGTGGCTGCTGGAGCTGCTGAATAGCAGCCTAAGTGATCAAAGCCAGCCCAGCCACCACGGGGACACACGGGGCAGTTGCCCACATTTCCAGGTCCAGTGGGGCAGTTTTTATCTCTGAGTGCAGTTCTAAGGGCAGAAAAGCTCTSTGTTTTGCTCTCAGCGCAGTTCCTTGCTGCTCAGTTTCAGCTGTGTCATTCAGAAGGGGACAGGGGGGTTCATTGTGCCTGGAGAGCAGTGCCAGCCCAGGCACAGCAGCAGAGAGCACCGTGCTGCCCACTCAGGGGGCATTTGCAGCTGCTCCTCTCCCAGCCTGCAAACCAGGCAGTTAAAGTGAGCCCGGGTATGTCTGCAAAAGCCGAGGTCAGAATTTCACTGAAGGTTCACACACTCAGCCGAGCCTGCGCTTAACACTCTGTTATTTATTCCCACAGCTTTCACAGTCAGCTGCTTGTTTATCTGGCTGTTTTGCTCACTGTATTCCTGGGAAAATTTCTTTTCCTCCAAAGGTCAATGAGGGTTTGGACAAGGGCCACAGCACGGGTGGGGTTTCAGCCCCTGAACAGTCCTGTAAAACCAGGTGCTGTTGTGTTCAAGAGCATCCTCTCCTTAGCTGAAGGGCAGGAATGGCACAGCTGGACAGGCAGAATGTGGCCTTTCAGCAGCTGGCACTTCAGAGCCCTGCCAGCCTGATAGAGTTGCCACAGGACTCAGTGCTAAATGAACTCTCAGTCTCCTCCATCCTTGTCCAACTCCAATGCTTTTGCACCATCTCCACGGGCAGAAATAGCGAGCAATGGGGAGAGTGTGATATGTGAGTTATTTTCACAAGTTAGAGATGATCCCATAATTCATGCGTGGTGGAGCGGAGCCTGCAGAAAGGAATTTCTGTCCACCACTGACTGTGCTCGCTTAATTTATTGCTTAGCATGTACCTCTCATCATCAACATCCAGAAAACGACTTTCTGTGTGAAGTTAATGCCTTTGCTTGCTTGATCCTGGGGCAGAGTCTGCCTCTTCCACCTAACCCCTATRAGTGTAAAATATTTCTCTGTGAACGTGTTTTCAGGTGGATTCTGAGTGTGCTGGGTTGCCAGCTCCATGCAGCACCGTGGACAAAGATTTTGGTGATTAAAGCAAGTTCGTGTGTGACGTGGCATCTGACTATCAGATGTTAGAGGAATGCAAGAGACATACCAYGGCGAGACACATAATTCAGTGTGTGTGTGTGTGTGTCTGTATATATAGAACCAACAATTTATATTCTAATCATCACAAAGCAATCATACTGTGAGTGCATTTTTGTTATTAATACTTACTCTTTGATGCATAAACAATCCCATTTGAAATTCCTGGTACCAACTATGCTAATCTTTCACTGGAAAAAACTTATTTGCTGAGGAGGAAGAATGAAGGGTAGGTAAGCGAAATGTATTTCATCTGTTTGAAATAACTGCAAAACTATCAGCATTAACGGYAAAAATATTTAATGAGTATTGCACTAGCCAGCACCAAAAGTAGTGAGATACAGAATTGCATTTGTTCTGTCATCGACATGACTGACATTTAATTATTGTCTATTTTTGTGCTGATAATCTCATTCTTATCATTCGTTGTTAAATCCTTTAGAACCCCAAGAAAAATGAGATCAAGTGACAAAAATAAGATAATGAAATCATACAAAATAGAATAAAATTATATCTTGTAGGTAAGAGATGATTCAGGAGACTTGGTTATTTTATAGGGTTGTATAAGCTCTGTAAGTGATTGTGAATTAAATGTGTTGAGCTCACAGAAAAGCTTTGGAAGAGAATGGCTGCTTGCAAGCTAAGCTGACTTCTGAGTTGTCATTGTGCTGCACATGCCATGTGCRATGATATAAGATCATTGTAAACCACAAAAGATGGTGAATTTGAGTCTTGTTGGGGAAAAATATATATCTTTCCAGCTCACTTCCCTTTTGCCAGTTTGTTCCCTTTGTGCTGTTGTGAAGCTTTTGGAAGCSAGTTTGTCACTGTGACTGTAAAATCAGGATCTATTTTTATCATTCTTCACTTTCAGCCAGAAAAAGGCTTCCCAGGCTTTTGCCAAAAACTATATTGACTRCACAGCTCGATCCAAGCTTCTGAGTCACTGTATATGTCTGTTTGCAATATGTAACAGGAAAGCACTTCTAGCTGAAGTTTTAAATGAGGTAGGAAATCTGTTGCAAAAATTAGATGAACAATGAGTTCTGCTAAGAAAAAGTCAGAGGCAATGCTCACCATTTATTAGACTTTTCCAAGATAACCTGTTAAGTGCATTGAAAAATGACTTTGCAGGTTGTGTGGTGGTGAAAACACTGAGGGTTTAATTTTGTTCCCTGCTAACCTCTGAATGATGTAGTGGAAATCTGGTCTACGCACGCTAAGAAAAAGTGCTGACAAAGTATATAACTCATAAATGTGCTAATTTACTGAACAGGAATAGCATTTATTTGAGTGCAATAGGTAGTGACCACATCAGTGTTTGTATTTTTGCCAGCTTTTCCCTAAGGGGACTTTCAAGCTATTCAAAGAAAAAAAGTTTACTCAGTGCAGAAACACAAAAATTTATTTTTCCTCTCTTCACAGGGAGCTTGTGAAACAGCCCTAAATTGGGAGATGGGGCTTTCTCTAAATTCACTTATCAACTCGCTACATCTATAGATACAGGTCTTGAGTTTTCTTTCCATTAGTTTCTGCCTTGTAAAATACTCCAAGTCATGAYGACAAAGTGTTTTGGAGTTACTGGGTGAACATCCCCTATGTGAATTCTGAAAGCTCATGTCATAGAACTTATTTGTAAAGTATTATTACAGACAGCTCTGCAAATCCCAGGTAAGGACAGCAATGCTCAAAGGGGGTTCTCAGGCTCTGTGCTGTCTTTGTCCTACAATGGAAAACTTCTGTGTACAAAGCAAAATWGGCTTTGTAAAGTGTTTGTTTTAGAAAAGCATTCACAGTGTCAAAAAAAATTTATATATGGATAGATTTACTTTGGACTAGTATAATTCTGTTGCTAAAACACTACCCTCAGGCAGAATTTAGATCTGTAATTTGATAACCTGTTGACATTTACATGTCCATAGGTGCTAATGACCTACATCAGCTGCATGTTATGACAGAGGCTTCCTTTGCTCTCCCCATTTCATGCATAGTGACTTAAATCCCTTTAAAGGACTCCTAACTTTCTGAATTGGAAAACAACACAGAAATAGCATTTTAACAGTAGCTTGGTCTCATGTATCTRTTGTTGAATTTCCTTGCATTTATTCTAGAAACCTCAGTGTTGGTGATAGAATTAAATCTGCCACCTTGCTACCTGGCAAATCTAAATACAGAGCTGCAGCTGGGCCTGTTGGTATCTGCTGCTACACTGGTATTCCTGCATTATGCTGGCATTTCACTCATGGTGAGAGAGAGGGGAAAGCAGCCTGTTAGCTTGTTTACATTCACTAGTTGGAGATATTCTGAATAATAGAGTTCAGGAGGTTTGGAATAATTCATGTATTTCCAGCTACGATGTTACCAACATTCATTGTAGTCCTGGCCTGAATTAATCATGCCCTTTTCAAAATGCAATGCAAACAGAGGCTGCAAAACTTTCTATCTGACTTAGTAGACTCTAAACATGTGATTGCAGGTTCCAGTCTTGCAGTCCACAAGATTTTGAAGATACAATGACCACTTTGTGAAAAAAAGAGCTGTTCCTTGGATTTGCAGTGGCAAAAGTGTAATGCACAAACTCAGTCAACCTAAATTCATATACATAAAAATTCGTGCTAATTTAAATCATGACTCTTATCAAGAATCTATTCACCTCATTTGATGCTCATGGGAATCTTTCCCTTGGTATCAATGCACTTTGAAGGAGTAATTTTGTTAACGTCCAGYTGTGAATTTAGGCCATAAAGTCAGGCAATATATAAATCTACACTCTATCCTTCATAACAGGATAATGGATGTATTTCACAGATGCAATCAAAACAATTTACTGAGGATTAAATTCTCACTTTGGAAAGCAAAGTCAATCTCACACCATCTGCAGATAGTAAAGTGTCATGAGGACAGATTTAGTGGCACGGTGGCTGTTCCCAGGGAGCTCCTGCTGCACTGAAACGGTAACATGAGAAAAGGGGCTGAGATAATTGCTGGAAGATTGAAAAATTGTCATTTGTATCACTATCAGAGAGGTGGGAGAAGCAGATGTTTCGGAGTAGGCGAGGTGATGACTGGTCTGTGGGGAACTTGGACAGTGAGGAGGGCACGTTGCTCAGCAATCCTCAGAGCCCAGGAGATCAGCAGGTTTGCTTTGACATCAGAGCRAAAAATGAGCCACAGAAAAAGGCTGCAGCTTCCTCTGGTGAGATCTTTTCACACTGATGGCTCCTAAAGGTGATTTCTGTTTGCTGTAAGAGACAAAGTGGRAAAAGAATAATATAAACAAGCAGTACAAACAGTTCCCAAATTCTAGATAAAGGCTGCACAGAGCCCTCTGCCACACCTTTGTGCATCCTCAGTCTCACAGAGGATGTCTTACCTCTGCTTGACAGGTGACACTCAGGATGCAGTTCTGCTTCAGACGTKCTGACAGACACCCAGCATCAGGGARCAAAGCTGGCTGGTCCTAGGGTGGGTTTCAGCTGCTGGGTTTCTTGTCCTTTCTCCTGGCAYGCTGCAGTTGGTAGCTCAGTGATGCTGCATTTCTCAGGTTGCCCAGACAAATACTCCTGGTTTACTATCCTTCCTCTGATTATCTCAGTCTGTATTTAATGACACATGGCCTGACTTGCAAGCTGGGTAAGTCATGGCTCAGGGAGCAGCCATGGTAAATGGCAAATRTGAAGAGAAAAGGAATATCTTACAAGATGTTATATGTCTGTCTTTTTAACAGGGTTCCCATCCTTTCACTTCTTTATTTTAGTAACACGCTTCATATTTGAATTTACCATAAAGAARGAGTCTCTGCAGTTTGGYTAGATMCATGAATAAACAAACAAATAAAAAAAATAAATGCATAATATTTTCTACTTCCTTTTCCCCTGGTTATTACAGGTTCAGCCTTGACAGGGACAGCAGCAGCACTGCAAGTGCAGGTGGAAATAGGTCTGTGCAGCAGAACTGTTAAGTGTCTGCAGGATGTTTATTCCAAAGAATGGTGTATTTCTACATATGTTATATATTAGGGRAAAGGTTTCCAAGCTGGAGGCTCTGAAGTATTAATGCCTTAGATTGTAACCCAAAGAACATCTAATCTGACCTAAGAAATATTGAGTGGAATTTTCTGGAGCAGGCATAGCGTGAGCCCTGAAAACAGGTATGGTCAGATATGGCTGCAGGGAGGTCAGAGCTACCTGCACTGGAGTGATTATCTAAACTGAAATCAAAACCTCTGGGTCAGCCTGAGAAGGAAACCCCATAATGACATTTTAATGCATGCTTGGGAAAGTAGGAAAGGGGGGTAAATACACAAGGAAGTTCAAAGTCTGAATGACTTTCCTATCTATTCTTCTAAATAAGGGACATATTTTTCTCATTCAGTCAGGGCTTATGAGAATATCACCCACACTAAAAGAGACAGGCATATTATTTTCACTCTCTATTCCACCAAATATGTAAAATGAAAAACAGGTGATTGCAGTGCATATGCGTGCTTTTTTTTTCTTTTTTTTTTTTTCCTTTTTGGGGGGCAAGGAAACTTTTGATCTTCAGTCTGTACAGAAGCATCCCAACTTTAAAAAAGAGCACTGTCAGATTTATTGTAGCACTGAAAAGTACAGATATTATACTTACCATTACTCAGTGACCTCTTTAGGTTTGCCATCATGGTCCAAGATTTATTGCCTTCTGTGTTTAAAATGCAAAAGGATATGTCCTGTTAATATTTCTGGGTTTGCTGTGAAGCAATGACTTCCTGTTTGCTAGTACCACAGGTAAGGAAGACACAAACCACAAGYGCCAACACTATGTAATTTTTTTGGTCCTGAGTCCCTAATTTCTCAGTCATCTGATGTGTTCTGTCAAAATGCAGCCTGAAAGTCTAGACCAAGAGATATCTATGATAGAAAGTGTACATCAGTATTTCAAGCCCTCTAAATTTATTCTAGCCATTTGACAGTTGCTTGGAGATACAATCTCAATTTTTTTGCAGTAGCCCCTTCAAGTGGATATTTATGGCAGATACAACTGTAATTATTTACCTGTAACAAAGTCCAGGTCTGCCTGCTCCAGGTGATACAGACAACAGAAGGACACAGAGAAAATATTAATCTTCTTTCTGTCTAGATTTTGACCTTTTGCACCCGGCTTCTTAGCCAATTATGGAAATGGAGCTCTGTTTATTTTTTTTGTTTACAGGTTTTGTTTCCTTATTCCACAAGCCTGTCAGTTATCAGTGTCAGTGCCTAAACGACAGGGGCTGAGTGTGTTTCCCTGCCTTACATTTAWTATTCCTACTTACTTGCATTAAAAATGCTAGAGTAAAATGGGACTATTCATGTGAGTTAAGGTGAATCCTGAGTGAGAAAGTTGAACATTTTGGGACATGGAGTTTTCATTAGTGTWATTCCTATTTTACATAAAAGCAGTTTATTTGAATAAAAAAGAAATGAAGGAAAAGAATGACAAAGGAATAACTGAACCACAAATAATAGGAATCAGTATCTCATTTTGGTAAAGTTACTAAACCTGTGCCTGCTTCTAAAAGGATAAGTAATCTTGTTGATTCAGTCAGGACTATTTATGTCATCAGGCATGTGCTGAAGAAACTGAATGAATCAGAGAGACRGGGACTAACAGTATTTATACGTATTTAAAATGCAACAGCAATAAAACAGAATATTTTGTCCACTGCATCCCGTGGAGCAAGGAGAGCAAATAATGGGAGCAACAAATTCTTGTTTGCTTCTATTCCTTCAGCAGAATCAGAGTGTGTTTGAATTGGCTGAGTTCCCGTGGCGTTCCTGTTGCTTGGTGCACAGAAAAGCCTCTGCTGGGCTCGATGCCATTAAGATTTGCCTCGTGTGGCTTGGCAGAACCAGCCTTGACACCAAAAATGCCCTTCCCATGGTTTCTAGGGCTGCTCCTTGAATGCACCACACAAAATCTCTTGCATAAATATCTTCCAGAATATAGAAACTATAGAAAATGGTCCATTTACTTGCAAAACTTTACAAAAAAGAGGTCTTAATTATGTGCACTATTTTTCTTTAATACTTGTAAGGTGAAAATGTATTTCTCTTTACTGGTGGTTTGGTTTGGTTTTTCATACAAAATAATTTTGTCTTTGATTTTCATATCATTAATTTATTTCAATGTGTTTTTCCACATTATCTGTAATTTGATCAGCCCCTTTTACATAATTTCTAATAATCTGCATTCTGATACTTTGGTATAAAAGCTCCAAGATATTCAGAATCAGAATAAATCACAGGAGAGCAAATATCACTGGAACAGGCATATTATCACTAGCAGCACTTAGGTCAGTAATCCAAGCACTACTGAATGCTCGAGTTACATTTGAAAAGTGAAAATATTCACTTAAGCAACAAGTAATAACACTGTTCTAAATCCCTGTTCAGCCTCATCTTGGCCCTTACCTGTGTAGCTACTTCATCTTGCCTCAGTTTTTCAAATGTATTGCACTTCTACAGACCTTTCAAGTAGTTATTGTGTGAAGCAAGAAAACAAACCCAATTCTGTGTTATTCCAATAAAGGCAACACCGTCACCTGATGGATTAATTTAGTGTTTRTGCCATGTCCTTTCCAAGTAACTACCACTGATTTATTCATAGCAAATTCTTTAAAAGTTGTTGAAAATTTATTATACAATTGCCATCCACTAGATGTGCAAGGTTACTAAGAGCTGWTTTTTCTGCTTCTTAGTTCACTGAAGCTGTAATTTCTAAGGTAACTATTTTAAAGAGTTTTTCAACATCCAGTGTTCCCAATGTTAAGGAATAGTTCCCAGTAACCATACAGAGATTTTTATTTTCCAGTGAAAGGTTCTGCTGCCTAAGGTTCCAATAACCTGCATGCCTGTAGAGGAGCAGGAATTTAGCAGCAGGCTGGACATGGAATTTACAGGACTTACCAGTAGTGCCTTGTAATTAATTTAAACTAAACTGGTTTGCAGAAATCATCCTAGTCTGCAAAGAGATTTTAGGAAACTCCTGCCTTTCCCACTMCCCATTCTCACAAGCAACCAGCCTGCATCCATCCATGTCTGCATCCTTCCCAGGGAGTAATATGGACTGATTTAGTGCACCTCTAAGAATAAACATATTCATATTTATTACAATTGCCTCGGACACCAAACACATCTTCTCTCCTGAGTGCAGAGGATGTGGATCCAGTGCAGGCAGTGTTTCCACACTTTTATCCCTGCTATGTTACCAGCTGCAAAGGGATATGGAATTTCATTCCACCTCTGGTATGCAGCTTCAACTCCTGAAAGCTACGATGAGATGTTCATCTTTACTGAACTCATTTCAGCAATGTGTCCACTGCTTTGAACAATTTGACACACAGAGATGCTTTTTACAAGTTGATTTTTGCTGCTTTCTTTTTGTTGACATGATTCACTTGTCAGGCTATGTACTTGGGCTTTCAGCGCCTCTTCCCAAGTGGAGACTGCATATCTTCATTTTGGCAGTTTCTGGATTCCATCTCAAAATGTAACTACTGTACTTTGYTGCCTTCAGTGCTGGAATCTCTGGAGATGATTTTTTATTGCTGTTTGGGGGGAGGAGGAGGTTAGTGATTTGGCAACAGCCCTGCAGCTGTGACCCAAAACTTCCTATTTCGCTCTTTATTTTTATAATAGTGTGTATTATTATAGTATCCAGAAGTCCAGCTTCCAGCCCTRAGACATGATGACAGCAGATACAATTAAAAGCAGCACTTTGAAAATTGCACATACTAAAATTTTACAGGATCAAGTTTGTTTGCAAACTTAAATACAGCTTGTTGAAATTGACTGGAATAAAAATATATTTTAAATTAAAATGAGCTGGTTCAGATCTGACTCTACAGGTTTTGGATTTTATTGGGAAACCAGAGGAAACCTGGTGATTCATTTGAGCTCAGACTTTCTAAATTAGGGCACAAGGAATATGCGCACATAACTCAAAGACAAAGCAAAAGCAGAGTTTGACTGCATTTTCAAGATCCTGTTTTTTATTAATATTCACAGAGCTATGGGCACAAGTGTCTTTAAATGACCTGGTTTATTCTCCAGAGTATCACATTCAACTGAATTTCATCCAGTTACTCTTCCACTGAGACCAATCACTYGAGCCTGATGAAAGCATCATTTTGAGGATGGAATGTAGTTTTATTTTGTAGACATCAAGAAATGAAGAAAATCCTTCAGTTCTCATGGCTCTCACTGCCAAGAAGTTTTGTCTGTTTAGGGTTTTTTTTTTTTTTACTAACAGTAGCATTGTCTGATACGCTTTTTAAATCATCAGTCTTTCATTCTTCTTTTTATGGTAAATTCTGAGTTTCCCCAGAGGTATTTTAGGTATTATGACCAAGTGATTATCAGATCTAAAAGTGTACATCAAGTTGGTRGCTCTCAGCATTTTCTCTAGGCCTTGAATTGATTTTTGAATTTCTTCTTCTGTAAATGGTCAACTTTTTAACATCCTCTGAAAAATATGGAGTGATAGGCTCTGAAGGCAAGGCATGAGGCAATATTTTGTAGGTGCTGTAGCAATGTCTTTCTAGTAAAAAGATTTTACAGCTACATTTAAAAAGTCTAATCACTTCAAAGAAGCACAACTTTCTCCTGAATCTTGTTAGCTTGCTCACCCCAGGATTGCATGAGCCTGTTCTGACACAGGATTCTACTGGCAGCTCAGCTGCAGTTGTTCAYGAGTTATTTTCCAATAAATTTTTCAGAATCCCCACTTTCCAAGGCAYCAGTCCTTATTTCTAAAACATGGCCTTAATTTCTGGTTCTTGAATGTCTGTTCTCGCATTTGGTTCTGCTGATCCGAGCATTATTTGGATTTCCCTAGTGTTGATTCCTCTAAGTGACCATCTTTTCCTTATAGTATTAACTATTCTACCAACCTTTGCATAATTTMTGTGCTTTATCAGCAAACATTTTTGTTTTATTTACCCTCACAAGCTAGGTGAAAAGGGCATATACTTATTGCTAGAAATTACTGCAATGATTATGCACCATGCCAGAAGGTATTTCCTTATGTGAGTCACACATTTCTTCTACACAAATAGCTCTAACTTTCAGAGCAAGAGAAAATTTTAGAGCTATAGAAGGAATTCTGKTTTTAAAACTCAGAACTTGGTGTAATAAACTCTCTTGAATATATCCTGGTGAATATCCCACAAATTCTGGGATATTAAAGGCCCAGAGGTCTGGTGCAGACATATCTCTAATGTTAATCTTACAGMAGGGGTCAATTACTCATATATCACAAAAGATTTATTTCATCTCCTGTCAGTGCAGTGTCTGCCCAACTTCTGTTTAAAATCCGTAACAGCAAGTCTCTGGTAATCTTAATAAATTCTCATTAATTTAGAACTCTATTTACTGTAAGACTTTATTTGATTATGATTGCAATTATCATGCTGGTTTGGGAATTTACTTCTTTGGGGGTATTTACTGGATCATTTCCTTCAAGTCTTTTGTGGGCAGTGAGGTGGAGGAAGAAAGAGAATTCTTGAATTGTGGCCTAGAGAATCCCAGTCTGCTGAAATAGTGAGGCTGCCTTCAAACATAAGATCAGAGTGATGGAAAAGGATCTCGGGGAACAAGTTTTATCTCAAGTACTGTCACTGTGATGAGAAAGACTCACTACAGCTTAAGTTAGAGGACATGAGTTGCTGTTTTTTTTCTCTGAAAAATTCCCAAGCATTTTACCGAAATAGCTGATTTTTAGATGGGCATAGAATAGTAATACATGAAGCACTTGTGCCAGATAAATACATAAAATGTGGTGAGTTACAGACATAAAATATAAGTGGGTAGCAACAAGTAATGTTTACAAAGAGACTTACCTTTGGGAAAGGGGTACAACCCAGCCTGGGGAAAAAATGTTAAAAATGGGGAGGTTTGAGTAGCTACAGATAATTAATAAGAAAAACACTAAGGARATGAGAAGTTTAGGAAAATGAGCTTCAAATGAAGAGAGACTTCATTAACTATCATAAGAGATGCCCTGTCTTCCGTGCACGATGTTTAACCACATAAAACGCRATGAACAGGGCTTTTGAATTATTTCTACTTGAACTTTAAGATTATGAAATAGTTGCGTCTTTCTCGCTAACATTTTTCTGGTTTGACACTCACAGTTTTCAGAGATGTGATGTTTCCCTGGTAAAAATCAGCTGCTATCCACAGCTATGCTGTAATGTGCAACTTCATGCTCAAATACAGAACTAGGCCTGAAAATTTTTTTTTCCCTCAGAAAATAATGAAATGGCTGWGTCAGGATTAAGATGGTGTTAGTTGGTTTTTGTTCCCATGAAGACCATTTTTCTTTGCCATGTGAACAATGTAAAAGAGTCTGAGGCTGATTTTCTAGCTTGAGTTACTTAGACTAGTGAGAAATAAATCAGGTCAAGGCCCATCCTTTAGTCTAGATTTAAAAGTTTACTAAAGAGTATTTAAAACCCTTGGATGAGAACGCCCCGAGTGAAAATAACCCACTGGAATCAATGTTKCTTCAGGAAGACACTGTCTTCAGAAAGATATTTTCTTCAGAAAGATTTAGATGCTCACCATCTTTTCTGAATTTTGGTCTTTCCAGTGCTGACTCCTTTCCAGACAGACACATAGGATTGCAGTTAAATTGGAGTGTGGAAGTACTGGTGTTCCCATGAGCATATTTTATATCATATGCCACTTCCAGTGAGGGCAAAAATAATTGTTCATGTGCTAATAATTAAACATGTTCTTAATTTTCTTTTTTTTAATAGACCCTGACCGGACATTTTTGCAGAGCTGAGAGCAGAATTTGGCCAACTCTATTGAAATGTTTCTTGCAAACAGATTCTTTCATTTTCTCCTCTTTTGCAATTCAATGAGGAATCACTCTTGAAGTTAAATAGGAATACTATTTTTATAGTTTAGGTTTGCACTGAATGTTTAATGCAGGTAAACCAACAAGCAGTGGTCTGTTTTGAGAAATTGGGTTTCAGGTTTTATTGCCATGGATAACGAGAGGGGAAGAAAGAAAGAAGTCAGTGTAACTGTCCTAGAATTATCAACAAACTGAGGGAAAAAAGTATTAGCAGAGCAGTAGAGTAATTGCTCTTCCATTAAGAAGTAGGAAATGGGCTGGAGTGTGCTTCTTTGCTAAAAGTCAACTCTGTGAAGAATGGCATTGTAAGGTYCACCTTTAACTCCAGATCAAATTTGCTTATTTTAATGGTGAAAAGATTATTTTTCTATCCAGCAATGCTGCCAGTTAATCCTGCCCATGAAAGCTGAGCTGCACCCTGTCTGATTCACACTTCATCACCTGTAGTAGGGGCTGGGCAGCTGGAGCAGGCTTTTGTTGATGATGGAAGAGAAACTTTCTCACTCTCCATTAGCTGGGCTGTGCTATGCTAAGTACAGCAGTAAAAACATATATTTATCAGGAAATTCAGTAGATATGGCCCAATTTAAAAGAGTGCTCATATTGAATGGATCTGTTGAGTCACTGTGTTACTAACTACAGCTGCACATTCATGCAAAGCCAAAGGGCAATGCCAGCTCTGGGTTTAACTCTGTGAGCTTAATGGTTCTAGGCAACAGCTCCCTTCTAAGCTCTGAGAGATGGACAGGAAAAGTCAGTAAAAGCAGAAGGAACCATCCTGCATTCTCATTCATAAAAAAGGTGTGTGGTAACTCCAGTCACCTCCTGAAATCAGGGAAGCTCAGAATTAATTTCCACTGGAAAGAGCCCTATTGAACTCACTCAGTCTGGATCAGATCCCGAGAGGGAGCAATTCATCTTCTGACCACAGGTCAGCTTTACAGCCATGCAATGCTTCTCTTGTGCTCCACTGGTTGGAATTTCCAATGTTTACCTGGTGCTGAGCTGGCAGAAGGGGCTGGGTTTCATTCAGGTTCCAGCATATTTCTTGCATCCCTCAGGCACAAACCCCTTTCAGCACTGGGGCACAAATCACACAGCAGCAGAAGCCTGGTGGTCAGGAGGCAGAATAAGTGACTCAGTGTCSAGACTAGGAATCCCAAAACTGCCCCACGTGGATTTGGGTTAAAGAAAATGAAGTTGAAACTGATGAAAAGAGCTCTGACAACAGGCCAAACTCCCCAAGTGGCAGCTGGTTGGCAGAGGAAATGGATGTGATTGAGGATGTCACAYGTAGGCATGGATAAGGATCACACATGACAGATGGATAACCATTCTTTAATATACACTTTAGACTGATTGCAATTTAGAGGTTTTTTCATAGCTTACTTTTTRAAGAGTCCCTGTAGTTACAGACTCCAACTTTGTTTTGATTTGTTCTCAAATATGTATTTTGTGTTGCCTCTTTCTAAAAATTTCCAAACATCACCAAAACCAAAAAAAGCCATCAAACCATTGAAAGAGAACTGAATTTTGCAACATTTTACAATACCACATATGGACAGTAGCCATGGGTGGAGAACTTTTGTACATGTCACAAATTTCCTAGGGTCTTACTAAATTTAGCAAATTTCTGTGAGAATACCATCATGTTTTAACAGCTTCCACAAGTTTGTTCGTATGAATATACCCATATATTCTTAGAATGACACAATTTACATGTTGTGAGAAGTTACAGAATAAAATCTTCAGTTTAAAGAGATGTAAAACTAATGAAAAAAGAAGAAGGCTAAGAATGCCCTTCTTACTTACAGCTAAGAGTTGGGAAATATCCTTGTGTTGTGGCTCAAGGGAATTTTTCCACTGAAGGAATAGGACCCAGCTTGGTGGGTCAACTCCAGCARTGCGTTCAGTACAAGCCTCATTTGSTGTTTGCTTMAGTATTTTCCTGTGCCAGTGTCTGGACGAAGTAGCTTTTGTATAGCCTGGATGCTCTATCACATTTTAGGCTAACAAAGAAAAATAAATCTTCATTGAAAAGTAGGCTTGATTCACAACACAGTTGTAGTTTGTAGTACCTTGTGTTCTAAAGGATCAGGTTGAGGAATTTTTCTTTTCAAAATGTTGAATAAGCTATTTATCTCAGCTGTGTCCCTTATAATCAAAGCCCTTGATTAGAGGTTCTCATCATGAAAGACCAGTTGCTGCAGCAATTAAATATGTAATACTTCTGTTACAATTTAGGCTTTTTTTTTTTCCTTAGGAAACATTCTTATCTGATACAGAGTTTGAAGGACAGCAACTTATCTTCTTTCCTTCCCTCTTTTCCTGACAAAACATTTCCTCAGTCTCACTGTCCATTCAGTGAAGGAATTTTGATAATACTTTATACCAGTCAGTGGTCAATTATTTGGGGAAAAAAAAACCAAACCAACAAACCAGCCAAAACATGTTGATGTCTGCTTTACAATTAAAGGAACAGAAAAACCCCAGATAATTATCAAGAGGAAATGTCAAAGAACCACTGACTTTGAACTATTATGTAAAAAATATGAGTGAAGATGATCTGGAGAGTAAAGTGAGCCCTTCTGGCATGGCTCAGTGAGCAGGTGACATTGGATGAATCAGCACTATCTGCACAAGGGTATCTCAGTACATGTGGGATTAGCTCTCTGAGACCTAATTTAGGCCCTACAAACTCCAGATATCTGGTAAATCATATGGACTTAGAAACACCCCCAAGAGCAGTTAACTGAGTTACAGTGTATGTACAGCCCGTGAGCTGGTTGGATGGAAACTGAACTGGAACTACACTGATCCCTGCAGCAGCTTCCTCACAGCTGCTTGGGAATCCAGCAGCAAAGCCCAAAGCTTAGCTACAGCCAGAGCTGATGTCCAGTTTAAGTTCATCCCTACTTAAAACACTGAGCAGGCATTTACCTATTTTCACTAATTTGTGTCAGAAAAAGCGGACACCTAATTTCAGACAGTTCAAGTGACTTAAATATATCTAATGCAACAGAATTTTCCTTTTATTTGATGTAGAGACAAGGGAAGAGTGGAAGGAGAGACCTTATTCTGATGCTATTTTTTAGGTTGCAGGGCAGAAATYATAAGTTCTGACATTGTGGTAGTAAAAGCTGACCATTAACCTGGCACCAGAGAGCACACCTTCACTGATGTCGAGGATGCTCATGTAAAGGAGAAAGTGGAAGAAATAAATAATTTAATTATCTTACTCATTTAAAAAGCAACAAACACTGTAAAGTGGTTGGAAAGACATGGAATATATTTTTACTTGTTTGAAATATTCACATCTGTTTATTAGCATCTAACATTCTCAAAGTTATAGATAACCCCAACTGCAATTCCAGATGGAAAACACA